GCACTGTCGGAGGGTCAGTGCTGAGGGAGCGACTCACTGTCGGAGGGTCAGTGCTGAGGGAGCGCCGCACTGTCAGAGGGTCAGTGCTGAGGGAGCGCCGCACTGTCAGCTGGTCAGTGCTGAGGGAGCGCCGCACTGTCGGAGGGTCAGTGCTGAGGGAGTGCCGCACTGTCGGAGGGTCAGTGCTGAGGGAGTGCCGCTCTGTCGGAGGGTCAGTGCTGAGGGAGTGTAGGTTTTGGTGTGATGTTTTTGGGAATGAACAGGTAAGCTGTCCCTGTGGTAAGTCTCTATCGATGATCCAACATTGTAGACAAACCAATGCAGTTGTTGTTGATGTGTGGTGTTTGTGTAAGTGCCCCACATTGTCTGTGTTCTTTTGGCTCTGATCACTTTGGGGTGACCCAAGATCAAGAAATGTGCTGCAGAACTTCATATCTTTCCTATTTCCGAGGTACTACAGTCAGTCATCCCCCAATCCCTGAGTGATGGACGCAAGGTGTCCTAATGAAGTGAGTTTTTTTTCCTTTATTCGTTAACGGGATGAGGGCATCGCTGACCAGGCAGCATTTATTGTCCATCCCTAATTACCCAGAGGGCAGTTAAGAGTCACCACATTGCTGTGGGTCTGGAGTCACATGTAGACCAGACCAGGTAAGGATGGTAGTTTCCTTCCCTAAAGGGCATTAGTGAACCAGACGGGTTTTTCTGACAATCGACACTGGATTCACGGTCATCATTAGATTCTTAATTCCAGATATTTATTGAGTTTAAACCCAGGTCGCCAGAACATTATCTGGGGTCTCTGGATTCGCAGTCCAGCGACAATGCCACTAGGCCATCACCACCCCGCTGTCAATATCGGTGACAGGATCTATTGTGTGAAAGGCCCTGATGTCACATTATATGGGACCCCAAAGAATGAGAGATGACCTTATTGAAACAGACAAGATTCTAAGGGGGACTTGCCAGGGGAGATGTCGAGAGGTTGTGGGAAAGTCTAGGACCAGAGGGTGTAATCTCAGAGTAAGGGGTTGTTCATTGGAGTCAGAAATGGGGAGGAATTTCTTCTCTCTGAGGGGAGAGAATCACAGAGGGCTGTTGAGGCTGGGTCATTCAGTATGTTTGAGCCTGAGATTTTTAATCAGGAGGAGAATCGAGGGCAAAAACAGAAGTTACTGGAATAGCTCAGCAGGTCTGGCAGCATCTGTGAAGAAAAACCCAGCTCTGAGGAAGGATCACTGGACCCGAAACATTAACTTTGATTTCTCTCCACAGATGCTGCCAGACCTACTGAGCTTTTCCAGCAACTTCTGTTTTTGTTCCTGATTTACAGCATTCGCAGTTCTTTCGGTTTTTTTATACAGAATCAAGGGCAATGGGGAAGAGACAGGAAAGTGGAGATGAGATTCAGTCGGAGTTTGGAACAGTTCTGGAAAAGGGCAAGGTATAATCAAATGTGAAAATATTGCACTGGTGGAGGGTACATTTCAGTGAGTGTAATGGGAATCCAGCAAGGCTGATATAGAGTGACAGATCTGAGGAAATATTAGAGATCACAGGCAAGGGTGCTTTTGGTTCCAGATAGATTTTCTTAAAGATGGAATCTCAAGCTTGAGTTCCTGGGGATTGGGGTGAAATGAGAAAGAGGAGCAAATACATCAAAGATCCAGGAGGATGGCCATACTGTGTAGAAAACAGGATTGTTTGGAAATGCCAGTGAGTGGGGCAGGGGGTTCGGACAATAGATTCACAGTTACAGGGAACACTAAACAGATGATGAAAGGACAGTCAGGGTTCATTCAAGAACAAAGCAAAGATGGTGTTATGGAGGCACTGAGCCTGAGAGAGTTACTCTCAGGTAACTCAATAAAGCAAAATCCTGCAGATTTAGGAAAATGTGCGATACAAAAGGACAGAGTGGGAGCAGGTTTGCAGTTTCTGATCCAGTAAAGAGTCACATTGGGCTCAAAACCCTCCTACTGTTAATCTCTCCAAGGTGCTGCTCAAACATGCTGGCATTAGATTAATATAGGATATCTGGTCGGCATGGGAGGGTTGGACTGAAGGGTCTGTTTCTGTGCTGTACAGCTCTATGACTCTGTAACTGAGGAGCTTGTGGTTTTTATTGGAGACTAAAGTGAATGCTGTAGTTTGTGTTCACTGACCAAAAGAAAGCTGCAAGAGTCGCAGTGAAAAGCGGAGCTGGAACAGGAACAGGCTGGGGAACAGGAGCAACGCTGAGTTCCCCAGTCTGCCTGACGACTGTTTTCACTGCCTCCTCAGAAATAGGAGCACAAGGCTGGCCTCGAGCTGAGCTTAAAATCAGATCAACCATGATCCTACTGAATGGCGGAGCAGGCTTGAAGGGCTGAATGGCCTCCGCCTGCTCCTTATGTTTGAAACCACGCTGTTTTTGATAAATATTTAAACCCAGTAGATTGTTTCACAATTTGTCAACCTCAGAAATGTAATACACAGTAAGAGGGAGAGTAAGAGACTTCAGGAGGGTCAAGGGAGGGGCTAAACTGGACAGATACACGGCCGGCCGTGACCGTGATAGGGAAATGTAGATTGGTATCATTTTCCAAAGAACAAGGGAGGACCTGATGAAGTCAAGGGGCACAGTGTTAGAGACCGCACCGGCTTTGGAGGGGGTGGGGGGGAGGTTTGTATTTGGACACAGACATTGGAAGGTTCATGAACAATTCACCAAACAGTAGGCAGAGTTTCATCAAAGACTTTTCTCTGGTTGTAGGCACTGCACTTTAGGAATGAGGGGAATGCCTTGAGGAGGGAGATTTCTGAGAATGGGAGCTAGGGTGGACGGATTGGGGAAGGTGGGAGGGTTCACATCAAAACAAGAAGGTTGGGCTGGCCTTGAGGGTCTGGATGGGTTGAGGTAGAGCAGGGAGGGAAGATGTGTCAGTCAGTCAACTGAGACTCACAAACTCAAACTGAAATTGCTGGAAAAACTCAGCAGGTCTGATGGTATTTGTGGAGAGAAAGCAGAGTTAACCTTTCAAATCGAGTGAATGTTCCTCAGAACCCACTCTTAAGGTCATTCGTTCTGAAACATTAATTCTGCTTTCTCTCCACAAATACCATCAGACCTGCTGAGTTTTTGTCCCTGATTTACAACATCAGCAGTTCGTTTGGTTCTTATTTAGCAGAGACTTTCGGTTTGGGGGGGACCAGGTAAACCAGCCAGAGGGGGCTCGGAGGATGAAGAGAATTTTTTTTTGTTAAGCACACTGCTGGCTGTGATCTGGGAGGGTGCTACCTGTCTAGGTGCTGGGAACTATCCAGATGGAAGCATTGGAGACAGAGCTGGAAAAGTGCAGGAGAAGTGGGACTGACTGGAGAGGGCTAGCACACACTCAATGGGCTGAATGGCCTGACTCTGAGAATCTGTCAGAACAAAGATCGAGTCTGGTCTGGGGGTAGCTGCTGCTTTGGGTAAGGTCCAGCCTCTCTTCTCCCTCCCTCCTTCCACATTCCCTCTCTCCTCTCTCCCTCCTTCCACATCCCCTCTCTCCTCCCTCCCTCCTTCCACATTCCCTCTCTCCTCTCTCCCTCCTTCCACATCCCCTCTCTCCTCTCTCCCTGCTTCCACATCCCCTCTCTCCTCCCTCCCTCCTTCCACATTCCCTCTCTCCTCTCTCCCTCCTTCCACATTCCCTCTCTCCTCCCTCTCTCCCTCCTTCCACATTCCCTCTCTCCTCCTTCTCTCCCTCCTTCCACATTCCCTCTCCCCTCCCTCCCTCCTTCCACATTCCCTCTCTCCTCTCTCCTTCCACATTCCCTCTCTCCTCTCTCCCTCCTTCCACATCCCCCTCTCCTCCCTCCCTCCACATTCCCTCTCTCCTCCCTCCCTCCTTTCACATTCCCTCTCTCCTCCCTCCCTCCTTCCACATTCCCTCTCTCCTCCCTCTCTCTCTCACTCCCCACACCTCCCCCGTTCCTCTCTCCTCCCTGTCACACACACACTGCCCTCCCCCTGTCTCAGTGCTGCCCCTCTCCTTCCCTCCTCCCCTCCCTCTCACACACTCCCCCTCTCCCCCTCAGTGCGCTGCGGGGCTGCGGGCCGCATGGACCGTAACCGGAGTCTCTGGCCGCAGCTTCAGTGTCTGAACGGGAGCGAGAGCGGAATCCTGAATGGATCGTGCGGGGAAACGGGGACAGGGAGAGCTGCCCTCACCGGGAGAAAAGGTGAGTGTGGAAGCTGCTCACAGACAGAGAGAGGCAGAGAGGCACAGGGAGAGAAAGAGAGAGAGTGGGAATGAGACAGAGAGATGGAGAGAAAGAGAGAGAGATGGCGAGGAGACAGAGAGAAAAGGAGGGAAGGAGACAGAGAGAGATGGAAGGAGACAGACAGAGAGAGATAGAGGGAAGGAGACAGAGAGAGGGGTGGAAGGAGGCAGAGAGATGGAGGGAAGGAGACAGAGTGAGAGAGAGAGAGAGCTGTTTGTTTATGGGATTTGAGGCAAATAATTTCTCCCGTGATGGAGACGACGAAAGAGAGAGAGAAAATGCTAAAATACAGACTCCAGAGAGTGAGGGAGAGACAGATGAGGAGAGATGGGGAGAGTGATAGAGGAAAGGACAGAGTGAGTCAGTGGTAGGAAAGGACAAGGAACTAGGGCTCTCAGAACAGACTGCACTCCCCCCATCATTCTCCCTCCTCAGCCCCTTCTGCAGCCAACCCATTGCTCCTTTAGTAGTCCCCTCAGTTTTCACCCTCGATGCCCCCTCAATGCACCTCAATGTCCCTCGATGCCCTCTTGAAGCCCTCATTTATTCTGAATTTTTTCCTAACAATTGGACCCTCGATATATGACTCAGTGAGAATCGACCAAAGAACCGATGGACTGATCCAGTGGGACCTGCAGGATCCATTTTTGATCCAAAGTTTGGATCTCTGTCAATGGCAGCCTGGATTCTGCCCTCACTTCCTGCCCCAGGGCCTGTCCCAACAGGGCACAGTCCCCTTACCCCTACAACCCCGCACCCTGCCCCCTTGCTGAGCCGATCTGACAGAGTGTGACACACTAACACAAACATTCCCACCCAAACCATTATTTAATCATGTACATATCCCAGAAAAGATGGAGGGACTGAGTGTAAAAGATATATTTACATTTCTATAACACCTAGCACATCCTGAGGAGTTTCACAGCCAAGGACATACAGTAGTCAATTTGTACAGAGCAAGCTCCCACAAACAGCAATATCTTTAATGGTTGTACAATGATGGATGGAGAGCATTGTGTCTATTGTGAGCAGACTGTCCTTCTGAAAGATCTAACCAGTTACTGCTACCCCACTGCTCTACATCTCTCAGCAGCCCCGAAAATATTCTTCCTTGAAAAGTTCACTCGACTTCCTTTTGTAAGTCACTATTGAGTTGTGCACAGATCACAGAGTGTGGCAGGACAGGTAGATAGTGCAGTTAATAAAGCAGGCAGTGTCCTTGGTTTTATTAATGCAGCATAGAGTACAAGGGGGAGGGGGTGATGATGAACTTATACAAGACACTTGTTAGACCTGAGCTGGAGGATTGTGCCCAGTTGTGTGCACCACATTATAGGAACGACGTGAAGAATATTTCCAGGAATGAGAAACGTCGGTTATGAGAATAGATTGAAGAACCTGGGACTGTTCTCCTTGGAAAGGAGAAGGTTGAAGCAGATTTGTTGAAGTTTTCAGAATTATGAGGGGTCTGGACAGAGGGAACAGGGAGAAACTGTTGCCAATAGGGGGTAAAGGATGGAGAAGCAGAGGCTGTGGATTGAAGGGGATTGATGAAAGAAGCAATGGAGACACAAGGAGGTTCACACAGAGAGAGGGTTAGGATCCAGAATGTGTTGCTTTGGAGTCTGGGGGAGGCAGCATCAATAGAGGCTTTCAAACGGGAATGGGATCCCTATCTGAACAGGGAGAATGTACAGGGTTAGAGGGTAGGAGAATTCCACCTGTTCATTCAGAGAGCTAGTATTGGCACAGTGGGCTCAATGGCCTCAACTGGGCTGGAACCATTCTGTCATTTTGTGAATCTGTTTCCACTGCCATTTCAGAGGCTGAATTCCTGATCACACCAGCCTGCTGTGCCAGAATCCCCTACAGCCACTTTGACCATGTTCTGACTAACTGTGATGTGGGTACATTTACACCCCTATCCCCCTCCCCGTCCCCTCCCCGTCCCCTCCCTGTCCCCTCCCTATCCCCCTCCCCGTCCCCTCCCCATCCCCTCCCCGTCCCCTCCTGCCTTGTACAACTATGACCTCGAGCTTCTCCTGTTTCACTTTAACTGTCCCCTAATGATGAATCACTTCTCTCTATTACATTACACTTGCCACATTCCTATTCCTATCAGCAGTGCATCTCTATGCTGCTGGAATATTTTATTATCCTCCTCAGTGATTACTGCGTTTCCCAGTCTGTCACATCCCTGACTCCTGAACCCAACCCGCAGGAGATATTGACCAGAAAACCCAGAGAAGCTCTGTTCTCCTCTCACAGAGAGAACAAGGAATATTTTTTATTGTGTTTCCCTGACAGTGGAGTGGCAATAGCTCAGCCTGTACCATCCTGAGTGAGTTATCCACTGATTTACAAAGAGAGAGAGGGAGAGAGACAGACACAGAGAGAGACGGAGACACAGAGAGAATGACAGAGAGAGACAGAGAGAGCAAGAAAGTGACACCGAGAAAGACATAGAGGGAGAGAGACAGCGAGTGAGAGACAGAGAGAAAGACAGACAGAGACAGAAACAGAGAGAGATACAGAACGAGAGAGAGACAGTGGGAGAGAGAAACAGGGACACAGAGAGAGAGAGACAGAAACAGAGAGACAGACAAAGAGAGAGAGAGAGAGACAGAAATGGAGACATAGAGAGAGAGAGACAGAAACAGAGAGACAGAGAGAGAGAGACAGAAACATAGAGGCAAAGAGATAAAGAGAGAGAGAAAGAGAGAGAGAGAGACAGAAACAGAGAGATAGAGAGACAGAAAAAGAGAGAGACAGAAACAGAGAGATAGAGAGACAGAGAAAGAGAGAGAGAGACAGAAACAGAGAGAGAGAGA